GATTTAATTTTAGACCAATTTGTTCAGCACATCAAAATCTTGCTATTTTTCTTATTGCTTTGTATTTTTAAGATTGTAATTATAGGCTTCATTTGTGACAGATTTTTTACTGCTTCTTAAACAGTTTTTTGCACTAAAAAGCTGCTTTAAGAAGCAATAAGAAAGCTGTATCAAACGAAGCCTTAGTCACAATTTTTTTATTATTTTTAAAAAATTTATACTAAGAAGCTGCTTTCGACAACATGTTTAAAAAACTATTTTCTCTGCAGTAGTTTTATATAGTTTTATAAAGTACTAAGAAAGTTATCCCAATTGAAACCAAACACTCTTTTGAAGATAGGAAAAAAATGATCAGAACTTACATAATTATTTTTAGAGGAAAATTTTGAGCCAATTAAACTAAAGCTCCAGCATAGATATATAGGTTTTGAACTCAGATTTTTTATTTGGCAGCTAAGCTCTCAAATAAGAGATCAAGGTGAGCTGCATAAAACTTACATAATCTAAAATGTAAAATTAAAAAAAAAATCTTATTTTTTGTAAATATATTTATTAAGAAGTATTAAATAATTAAAATACTTATTAAAAAAAAAATTAATATGAGCAATTAATAACTATGAACTCTATGTAGATTCGCTGTAACACAGCCATGAGAAATATTTTTTATCCATAACTGTTTATCGGGTTGGAGCAATTCATCAAAATTTATGATTTTCAAACTAGCAATATTTTTATCGGCGTTTGAGACAACTTTCTTCCTCGGCGGTAGAAAGTGATAAAGTTTATTGTCTTAGCATTATACAAAAATCTAGCACACAAACAAATGAAATAGAGGATGTAGCATTCATAAGAGACACTATAGTTTTTACGTGAAAACTCCTGAAAAGGGGGAAAAATCACGGGGCATGACCCATTTTGAACCACTAGTGTTTGCAGTCCATTACAAATGAGGTCCTTCCTTAAGAGGAAGGTCTTGGCTCGATGTAGCAAATATACATCATACATAGTATATTACGCGGTGGGAGTTGGAAGAATCAATGTTTGACATGTTTGTTTGGGGCGGCAAAATCATAGTCGGCGAGTAATGTAGGTCAGAAGGACTGTAGTTGGCGTGCGACATAGGTCAGAAAGACCGTTATTTGGCGACAAAGGTTGGAAGGATCGTAGTTGGTAGACAACGAGGGTCGGAAGGACCATTGTTTGTGAGCGACGAAGGATGGGAGGAACGTAGTCGGAGGGGGATGGGGGACGAAGGTCGGGAGGATCATAGTCGGCACGGAGCACCGATAGAGGGAAGGGGGAGCACGCGAAATCTATAGATAAAATCAAGTAGAAATTAAATCGGAGACCGCCTAAACTACGATTTCAGCAAACTTATAGTCGAACTGAACGTCTCAAAAATACAAACCCAACGACACCAAATTCGACTCCATCCGAACCCAAATGACTCCAAGTCAAAGACCTGCAGCATATTTGGATGGTTTAAACCATAATTTGGATTATCAAATGGTTTCCAAACATAACATGCTTATAATCAAATTGAGCGGCTAGACGAGCCGAATCCAATGAGCCCACGATTGTCAAATTCTGATTTCACTAAGACATTTAATTTCCTATTCATTTACATTTTTTTTTCTTGGTTGATATTAGCTTTATCTTGTATTTATTCGATCTTAAAGAGATTTTATGATTTTTTTGTGCAATGAAATTTTTAATATCACGTATTTAGTTAATATATTGAACCCGTTCTAGCATAAATCAAGTGATTTGATGATTGTAAGTCATTTTGAGAAGAAAAAAAAAATAAAATAATTCAATATCAAAGTTTTATCATTTTTAAAGCTTATTATGTCGGTCCCAAGTCCGGATGTAAAAAGTTGAAAGAAATTTTAAAAAAATTAATTTAGGTCTGAAGGACCGTAGTCGGTAGACGAATCCGACCTCCTTTGGTGGACGACAAAGGTTGGGAGGACCGTTGTAGACGGACGACGGAGGTCCGAAAAATTGTAGTCGGCATGCGACGTAGGTCGGGATGACCGTAGTTGAATGAGGGTTTGGGAGGACTGTAGTTGGTGGACTGGCGGAAGTCCTGCGGTGTTTGGCGGATTGGCGGATGTCCATCGGTGCTCGGAAAGAACTCCAGATGCGATCGGGAAGAATTCCAAAGATGATCGGCGGATGAGCAGAAGTCCAACAATGGTCGACGACAAGAGAGCTCCCAAACTCTTCCCTTCATTTCTTTCTTCTTCCTCTCTTTCATGTGAAGAATGAGACCTATTTATAGTTTTTTAAGAGTGGCATGGCTTGTAAATATGGGGAGGGTCAAGGTCAAAATAGAAGTGGTTTGAACGGATGGCCGATATTGATCACTTTGATTGTAAACCGTTTATTGATCATTTTAATGTCTTAATGATATCATAATTAAGTGATCTTGGGCTCGTTGGATTCTTCTCATCGAGTCGCTCGATTTGACCATAAGCATGTCACATTTGGTAATTCATATTATGGTTTGAACCTTCCAAATGCGTTTTGGGTCTTTTATTTGGACTCGTTTGAGCTCGAACTGAGACGAATTTGTGTCGTTGAGCTCGCAATTTTTGAGACATTCAGTTCGAATGTAAGTTTGCTAAAATCAGAATTCATATGATCTCTGATTTAATTTTTTAAGCTTGTAACTCAATTTTTTTTTAAATTCTTGCCCGATCAAGATAGTTTTTACTGATATATCACTTACCATTTTTTAAAATAACATTAAAAAATAATGAAAAAACTATCCCAATTGAAAATTTTTAGACTTAATTTAGGACAACTTTTTTAATACTTTCTAAAACAGCTTTGAAGAACAAAAATTTCATGATGAGTAAATTTTTGTACTATAAAAATGATTTAGAAATTAGTAAAAGAATTTTTCTAAGCTTCGTTTGGGACATTTTTAGTGAAAAAATATGTATTAAGAAAGCTGACACAATTGAAGCCTTAGGTTTCATTTGGGACCACTTTTTTACTACCTCTTAAATCAGTTTTTTAGTAAAAAATAAAAGTTTTCTACTAAAAAGCTGCTTTAAGAAGCAGTAAAAAAGCTGTATGAAATGAAATCTTATGAATTGTTTGAGATTGATTTCTTATTGCTTATCAAAATAATTTTTTATTAAAAAAATTTAATATTTATAATAAAAAAATATTTTAAGCAGCTATAAAAAAATGTCCCTTTAATAGAGAGACCCCACTTCCCAAAATTTAAAGAAAATAAAACATTGGATCGAGGGCCGGCACAGATTTTTTTACCTGTTGTGGTGGAAATTGGAAAGGCATAGATATTTATATAGGAAACGTAATTGGCACAAATCTCAATATATATTAAAAATTTTAAAACTTAGCTCCAAACTATATTTAGCAAATACAATATGAGCTATGAAGAGTTACCCCATTTACATCTAAATGAGCTCATATTAGGTATTTAAAATATAACAAAAATTTAAAAAGGTTAATTATGATATCATAATTTTGTATGTTTATAATCAAATCAAGCCTATCGGCGAGAAGTATTTAATGAGCTAAATATCATTTAATTCTGACATCATTAAGACAAAATAATGCTTGATAATCCTGAAGATTAGTATGGGCCGTCCAATAAAATATTCTGAATTTGAGCTATATTGACGAGGGATGTCACTAATATGTTAGCACTTTCTATAAAAAAATTGGGATTATGACTTGATATTCACCGCAGGCAAAAAAGGTTGAAAAATCTTAGAGCTACATCTCGTAATCGGACCACCACTTGATCGAAACAATCGAACAAACTATCATTGGATTGCCATCACTAGAATATAGCCCAAAAAAGTCATGAATTGATAATAAAAAAATCTCCATTAAAATAAAAATGTCTCAAATTTAGTCTTTTTTTAATCTTCCACTAACATTTATTTTTTATAGTATCCAATAAAATAAGGAAACTATCGGCATGCATGACAAGTTGACAGCTTCATCGGTAGTGAAAGGTTCAAGTGAATATATATCGAAAAAATATGTAACTCAATTTGATGTATTGGTTGGGAGCTTCGACTACTAACTAAGAGATTTTGTGTTCGAATCTTACGTATGTAATGTGTGTGAGAGAGTTCGAATCTTAATGAGCTAGCCTAAATGTTCCCCCAAAAAATATGGACATAAAAGAAATTATCTTTATAGTTGATGACTAAAATGAAAAGCTGAGTTTTTTATTTTATTTTATATGAATAAATAAGCTCGGTTGAAATATTAAAATGGAGGATTTACATACATACCACTTTATATTATGATATTTATATATCTAACAACTAAAATTTTAATATTTCATGCATACCGATATTTGATATTAATATTATTTATAGGTTGTAGATATGACATATTAAAATTTTAGATATTAGATATATAAATAATATGATATGAAGTGGTATGTGTGTAAATACCGCTTTTAAAATTTGTGAATAAATATCTAATTGCCGGCGGATTATAATCTTGTTTCGTGGAAACTGTTTTGAATAAAATAATTACGCCTATTAAATTATTTTGTTTTTAAATTACGTAATCAAAAGATTAAGATATCTGATGAACACAAATCTCAAAATAAATTAATAATATAATTTTGAATTTAATTATATGTTAAATAATTAAAATGTTTTTTTGATATAAAATAATAAAATTTTGTCTTTAATAAAATAATTTATTTATAATAATATGTCCCATCTTTAATATTTTTTTGTTTCTATTTGCTATAGTCTTCATGCAAAAATTTTAATTCATAAATTTGAATTTTCTGTTACTACGTGTGAGAGAAATAATTTTAATAGTTATTTATGAATATTTTAATATTTTTTAAATCAGAAAATAAATTTATTACAGCAAACTTATTTAAAAATTGAAGAATTTTCCATCCTGATAACATTTTCTGAAAAATAGAAAAGACAAATAATATTATAATAATCTAATAATTAAAATAATTAAAAAATTGTCAAAAAGGAACCTGTGAATACTGTTATAGTACAAATGGCACAGCGGCAGCTTCGTCATCGCAAATCTCGAATCACATGGCTCTTCTTTCTCATTCCTTAACGCCCATCACCTGTTTGCTTAAATGCCAAGGAGACTAACCTCTTTCTCTCCACCTCTTCAAGCACCAATCTTCTCTATTACGCCAACGCCATGGATCACCTTTCCACTGTAACAAACTGGGAAGATATGCAACTCGATTGCCTCTCCATCATCTTCTCCAAGCTCGGGCTCGACGACCTCACCACTTCCATCCCCTTCGTCTGCAAATCCTGGTCCCAAGTTTCCTCCCATCCCTTCTTCTATCAAGTCCTCGACTTCCGCTTTTTGAACCTTAACCCATCGTCTTCGTTCTCCAAAATCTTCTCTTCCCAGTACTCCCTTCCTCGCTTCACCTTTTCCAGCTTCCTCAAGCTCGCCATGGCCCAAAGCCACGGGGCCGCCTTCGACCTCCGTTTCTCGTCTCTCTTTCCTCCTTCAATGGAGGTTCTATCTCTCGCATCAATCACTTGCCCTAGGTTAAAAACCCTGTGCTTGCCGCGAATCTGCTTCGACGATGAAGTTCGTTTTTTTAATCTGCTAAGCAAGTGGAGGGATCTCGAATGGCTTGCAATCGAATCAAAGCCGTTTAAATTGAGAGAAATGGCGGAGCAGATTGGTATTCATTGCAGCAAATTTTACGGGATGAAAATTCGCGGTTTTATCAGAAAAGAAGATGTAACCGGCATAGTTGATTTTCTTCCAAAGATTGAAGTTTTGGATCTGAGTGGGTCTCAGATAAGGAAGGAGGAAGTGTTGGCTATAGTTGACGGTTGCCGGGGGCTGAAGAGATTGAGTTTGAAGGAGTGTGTTGGCTTTGAAGCTGATGAAGAGGTGAGTAGGAGAGCTAGAGGCATACAGGTTTTTGAGTTTGACAGATGCAGGGTTGAAGATGGATTGAGGAATTCTGAAGATCAAAGTGAAGTTTTGGAACAGACGTTCATGTACTTTGATGATTGTTTTGAGATGTGGATGTTTTGAATTTTGATTGATCAAACTGTTGATCACTCTATCAGTCTAGCTTTAATTCGCTTTGAGTAAACAATCAAGAGCCAAATTCTCTTGTCAAAAACACCTTACCAGCAACGCTATATGTTTTTTTAGCATTTCTTTACATAGCAGTTTTTTTTTTTTTTTCAAATAGTGTCGAGATGGTGCGCAAGAGATGAGCTGTGCAGTGAGGTTGAAAGCCTAACAAACACCTTGTAGCTTCCTCATATGGAGGACGAATTATTGCATCCGGTCACCTGACAGAGAGATATATTCGAATTTTTCTCTATCTATAATAAGCTGCGTTTTTACTATGCTTTACTGTAGTCAGAGAGAAATCCAAATGTATCTCTCTGTTAGGTGACCGAACCTAATAATTTGCTTATATTATGGAGCCATAATTTTATTTCATAACTGTATAGTGAAATAAAATTATATTAGATCAAGACTTTGTTTGGGACGGCTTTTTTACTGCTTCTAAAAGTAACTTTTTAGTAAAAAATTAAAATTTTTGTACTAAAAAGCTGCAGTAAGAAAACCTTTCCAAACGAAGCCTTAGTTTGATGGATAAAGATGACGTTTGGCTTGATGTAGAGAATGAAGATACGAAGAGTAAAGCTAAGAAACAGAAACAAGAAGTAGAAAGGAAAGAATATATTTTCTTAATCATCTGATAACATGTACAGCTGCTTTATATAGACAAATAATGTAACCGTGGTTCTTGTAAACCAATAGTAAAATGACACCTAAGCACATATGTAATTAATACAAATATTTATGTATTTTGATATTCTAATAGATGAACTTAAAATTTTGTTAGGGACAATTTTCTTATTTCTTTCTAAAATAACTTTCTAATAAAAAAATATATTTAAAACTGCGTTACAAAGCACTAAAAAAATTATATCAAATGAGGGCAACCAATAGATATCAAATTTACCCAAACTATTTAATTGAACTTTGCTCAAATTGATAAATTTCAAATATTTACGTTTAAATTTCAAATGTATAGCCAAAAATACACTGCATTATGAAATGCAACAATTCAGAAGCTAAAATTTACGTTACTTTGCACAATTGCACTTAGAATTTAGGCAACCATACAACTCCTTAATAATTTAAAGACCATTATTTTCAAATTTTAATAAAAATATTTAAACCCATTTTTTTATGGTTAGAGTCAAATTGCTTTTATGTTTTGTTAATTCATTAAAACTTAGGCTTCGTTTAGCATGACTTTCTTATTGATTTTTAAAACAGTTTTAGTATAATTTAATTGTTTAAAAAAAAAAAAAGAAAATAGTCCCAAATAAAATCTTAGTTTAATTTAAAGTTTAAGACACATCTTTTCAAGTTTAATGAAGATATGCCGATCCAATCATGTCTTTTATTTTTCACTGGTCAACCAATGGAGAAATTATTGGGTGCGGAGTGCGGACGTAGCTCTGTGTGTGCAAACGAATTGGTTCGCGCCACGTGGAGCCCACCTTGACCCCACCGACTTGAAGAGAACGTGTGCTCTGTTTACCCGATAACCCGATAACACGAACCATCCGAACTACTTGAAAAAATGCGCGGTACCTAGTAGTACCGAGCGGTACCTAGTAGTACCGAGTAGTACCGAGCGGTACCTAGTAGTACCGAGTAGTACCCAATAGAGCTTTTAAATGATAAGTAGCCTCTATTTTTTTTATAAGTAGGCTCTACTTTAGTTAGCGTTAAGTCAATAAAGCTAGAGCCTATTAATGCTCTACTTTATTGCCATTGTTTTGAACAATTATTAATGGAGCTACGTTTGGCCGTCAATAACATGTCGTTACGTGCTCTTACTCTCTACAGCGCGGCCCGACGACTTAACCCGAATCGGAACCCAGGAATGCTATGTTCGTGTATTGTGAGGTATTACTCGGTATTGCTAGGTATTGCATGGCAATAACGAGAAATACCGCTATGTGAAAACCAATACCGAGCAAATACCAAGTAATACCGAGTTGTACCGCGTTTTTTAGAAAAACTCGGTACAACTCGGTATTTGCTCGATATTGCTCAGTATTTGCTCGGTATTGGTTATTGTCAAACAAAATCGACCAATACCTAGCAATACTGAGTAATACCGAGCAATACCTAACAAAATCGAGAAATAAGGAGCCATCCTGGGTCCGTTTCGGGTCGGGGCGCGCGGTAAATAGTGAGAACGCGTGGCGCGATTCTACTTGCGGCCGAACGTAGAGCTACGTCCTATGACCGGACCAAATAAAAGTTCCATTGTTTAAGCATACCTTCTACAATAAAAAATAAAATTTAGTAGACTTTGTGGCAAAAAAAAACAAAATCTATTTTACCTAATTACATTTAAGATATTAAATTCTCGCTAAACAATTATTATATTCTATCAATAACTAAGATTTTGTTCGGGATAACTTCTTACTGCTGTCCTCTTTAGATCACAGTTTTGTTATTTTCAAAACAAACATGTACTAAAAAGCAATGCTTTTCAATAACTTTCAAAAAAGCTATTTTTTATAATAACTTTCAAAAACTTTTATACTAACCATTTAGAGCTAACCCTAAATCAATATTAATCTGCAAAAGATAATTTTTAATTTCAAGTCATAAATGAAAAATTATTGCGTCTGGTGATTGAATACGCCCGAAAGTTAATTCGGACTCGCTACATGCACCAATTCAATTACATTCAGAGATATGATATATTCAAATTGACCTTCAAACACATTCGAACCTCATATAGCTCCATAAAATGAGAAAGATGCAAAATGTTGCTCGCGTCTCTTTATAATATCATAAAATATACAAACTTTTTGACGTGTATCAACCGCCGTCTCAGAGAGATTATTAGGTGCGGAGTGCAGACGGAGAGAACCGTCCGCACAAGCTTTATTCCGCGCTAGGTACCGGCGTACCGCTAGGTACTCATATTTATGTGGACGGCACACACTCCGCACCTAATAATTTTTCCATTAAACAACACCTTTTTTCCTTTTTTTTTTTTAATTAATTTTTACTGTGCTGATGTTCCTTTAAGCTTTAGTCAATTGTACGAACTCTCCGCACTTTCCCATAAAGCTACGCCATGAATAAATTAATACGTCGTACTTTATAATAATTAATATATCGTGATAATAAGCCAATCCACATCCTATAGCTTAGGGGGCGGCTACAATTATGTATATATGCTAATTTTTAAAAAGAATTACTGTTTACATGTATGATGTAATTATGCAAAAATATAAAAAAACTTCCATTATAATTACGTGAAATACAAAAATAATATATATTTTAAATACTACAACAATAATATCAAGCCTTTTCCACACTTCGTGGGATTGACAACATGAATATTTTTTTCTCTATTTTATATTATTTAGAGTGAAATTCTCATTTAAATTTAATTTAAAAAAATGTCATATATAATATTTTTTAATCACGTCTAATACATCTACTCTCCTCAATAGGTTATTGAAAGGTTGACGATTTATGTGACCAAACCATCTAATATAACTCATTCTAATCATATCTGCCATTGGAGCTTCTCAAAAGCTTTCACGTATATGCTTGTTTCACATTTTGTCTTTAATTGTAAAATCAACCATCCATTTGAGCATCCTCATCTCTTCAACTCTTAACTTAACTTTATGCTTCTCTTTTCCTGTCCAATATTATGAGCCAAAAAGCATCAAAAATCTCACCGTCATCTTATAAAAGTTTCCTTTAACTTTGAGAGGAACTTTTCTATCACACAATAAATCTGATGCATTCCTCAATTCCTCCGAATCAAACATCCAACTCAAATAGCTTCGTTTTGGACGGCTTTCTAAAGCAGCTTTTTAGTACAAAAATATTTAATTTATGAAGTTTTTTCTACTAAGAAGACGCTTTAAAAATTAATACGAAAGTTATCCTAATTGAAGCCTTAGTATATTATTGTTGTAAGTAGTCTATTCAACTCATACACAACATCACAATCAAATCAATATTTATTTCTTCTCCTTATTAATATGAGCAAATCAATCTCTTATCAGATTGTCCCTATTCGTTCACTGTAATTTAATTAATTTTTTCGTCGCTATAGAGACATTGACAACAAAAAAAAAAAAAAAAAATCTAAACTCACCTGCAGGGTTATCCTAAGCAATTAATATATAAAAAAAA